ATTCTTTTATTTTTATTGCGGCCGCATTATTATACCGGACCAGACGGTTGGGTACACGAACACACGTCTTATTCTAAACTAAAAATATAAAATGTAAATAGAAAATTTAAATGAGAAAAATAAAAATTATTTTCTTTTTTCTTTTCTGAAACAAAAAAATATTCGAAATTCGATTTTTAATACATCAAGTGTTCATACTAGCCATACATACGAGTATATACACATGTTATACAGGGTATAATTGGGTATATGTATATAGAATATAACAGAATAAATGAAAATATAGAACAAAATGTAGAATCTTATAGGTACACCTATACTTTACAAATTGTTTATAGTACTAAGTGCTTACTATAAAAAGAAGAAAAAGAATATCTTAAACAGCTGACATACAGTATAGCCTTATACTTGTATGCAACTAATGAAAGGGATGTTAGTGTATAAAATAATTTTTTATTTCTTTTCTTTGCTATACAAAATTTGTTATACATTTTGTATACGCACGCACAACCATACATAATTAATAATAATGTTTTTATAATATATAAGTATATAATACCGTTTTTATAGACATACATATATATTTTATCAGCTGTTTTACATCATATTTATTTTGATTTTAAAACACATATACATAATTGTATTCTCAAATAAAAAATACATGCATACATATGTATGTATATATTATTATAAATATTATAAATTTTAATTTTATATATGGAAAAAATATTTTATTACATCATTAATTATAAATTTTTTTATTTTAAAATAATAAGAAAATTAGAACTTAATTTAATTATAATCGTTATATATTTGTTATTTTGCGAGAAAGAGAATATTATTCATTAGACTTGACATACGGTATTACATACATTCATATTATTATGTATGTATATACATTAAGGTATAAAAGTATGAAGGTAGGGAAATGATCTCATTTCTTATGAATGGTATGTGGTGTGCAATATTGTCTCGAAAATTTTGCAATTTTGCCATTTCAAACTGTAATTTTGCATATTTTTGTAAAATATGTACTTGTCAGATAGGTTATTTTGACAAAAATTAAATTAAAATTAATTTAAAAATTTTGAAAGAAAAAGCTGATTAGTCTTATGAGATAAAACTGAGTTAGCTTCTCTCTTACGAATACATTTGAAAAGACAGAAAACAAATTTTTGCTGAGTGTCCCATATTTATACCAGATATGATGATATCTAATTATATTTGAGAGAGAAAAAAAAAAATTTCAACAAGAGAAACTCGTCTATATTGGAGTAGAAGAACTAAAAAAATCATTTTAATCAAAAAATAATTTTTAGTTGTAATATATTTATTTTTAAAATATTTTCGATCCCGTTTCTATAAAATTACTTAATGGTCAAACTAATCCTAATTCTTGGAATTACAAAAATTACGGACATCTTAATTATAAATTGAAATTTACTGAGATTTTTCAAAATACTGCTGAATTTTAATTCACAATCAATTGAATTTAATTTTATTAATTGAATCATTAACAGTACAAATATATAAAACGATTGTACTATATTGGACTATGTTTCCGAATTATTGTTCTTCTTGTTATACAAACATATAAGTATATACATGTACTATATTGTACAAATACAATATTAAACTGTCAGATTTCTCAATATATATGCACGTGCTAAAATAGTGATATTATTCATGAATCATGTTGCCGAGCAAATATTATTGATAACACTCTGTTAACAATATTTTATAGGTGATCATAGATAAGTTCACTGACCCTATTAATTAGACAAAAAAGAAAAGAGAAAAATCACTTTTATTTTCAATAGAAAATCTTTTATTCGTATCAGAATAGATCAGAATAGAGGCAGGCACTTTAATTTTTTTATTTTCTATTTGACAGATTCTTGTTAAATAATGTCATGTGAAGAATCTTAATTTATTATCGTATACCATTGAACTTTTACTTTTAAATTTAAATTTTGCAATTTTTTTTTTCATTTACAAAATGTAAAAACTATTACTCAATATAATTAACTCAAATTAAGTATATAGAATTTTCACTCTTAATTTTTTATTATTATAATTATTTTCACTCACTTTTTATTTATCTCATATAGGTCATAACCAGTTCCATTGAAATGTTGTTGTTCCATTATATTATCGTATTCATCGATATCGTAATTATTTTCAACTAATTTACTTGTTTTTAATATAAAATCAAATGTATTTTCACTAATATCATTATTAATAATACTATAACTTTCAGATAATGATGATGAAGAGGATGACGAAATTGTTCTTAACTCATCCATTATTCCAGCGATACTAAACTAAAGGTACAAAATATAAAACAAAAAAAAAAATCTCATATAAATAGAAAATGTAATATCGAAATTATATTTTCTTTTTTCATTTTCACATTGAGTAGGAAAAATATGTATGTATGTATGTATTACGTACATAAGTTGAAAAGTACTCAAATCTTCGAATTCAGTAATTTCATTCAGCATAATATAGTAGCGACCGACCAAGTCAAAATATTCAGTATAAAAAATCACATGAGATTTATTTACATAAAAATTTCTCTTTATTATTTTTTTTTTTTTATTTTTCATCACTACATATATTTACTCTCAGGTCTCATTTTTAATCACACCATTGAAATTTCAAGCATATGGCAGACATATGGTATGATATTATTTTTATGGTACGATGATTTTATTATTCTGAATTTTAGTAGAAACAAAGATAAGGCAGTAATAAGTAAAATTTTTTTATGTATATTGCAAGGAAACAAGTTAAAGATATGATTAATTTATCAATATTTTGAGTTAATTTGACTTTTAAGGCAATATTAGAGTTGCTCTCCGCAAATTTATTTTTGCAAAAAAATTTGCTATAAAATTGATAAGAATTTTTGACACAGAGAGTAATTTACATCTAGTTTTACATTTCTCAAATTCAATAAAATTGTGTTGTCTATTTCTAATTTCTGTTCTCAGAGAGTATTTATTGTTTGGTTTTAAATGTACGCACTTCAATGATCGTTTTTATGTTTATAATACGTTGGATTATTCTGATATCTTAAGAAGAAGTGACACAAGTAATTAATGGCACGAATACATTTGTACATTGAATTTTTTTGAAAATATGTGTAGACACGTATGTAAATATTTTCTAACAGCAAGATTACTACTGAGCATTGCGGTGGAAAACCGTAAATTGAAGCAAATTGAAATATCTTTCACATGAATGTATTTTGCTTTGCATGTTGCTAAAAATGCTATCTGCACTACAAGAAAAGTTTACTTTTTAATGGTTGCAGTGACACAAATACAGTTTACATTTTACGGTGACACTAGATTAACAATTTCTCTTGTAGATGCGGAAATTTAATTTAGTGGAAAGAATCTGTAACACTTACAGATTAATTTCAGGTTACAGATTAATTTCAGACTTCATTTTTGAATCCCAAGACTATTTTATATAAAGTAAACTTAATTAAAATTCAGTTTTCAATTTCAATTTGAATCGTTTATATACTAGAATTTATTTATTGAGTATAATTATTATTCATATTTTAACTCGTATACTCAAATCTCTCATTATTCATTATAATTACAATTTACTTTACTCAGTCAGATCAGATTCATACATAAGTATATTATATTGAGAAACAAAACAGTTGAAATTTTAAAGTAAAAATAAAATAATTGTTTACTCTTTTTTTTTTTCAATTAAATTTTTTACTCAAAAAATTTAAAGGTAGATTTAGTCTACTTTGAAAAATTACTCAAAAAAAAGAGTGCATTTTAAATATTTAAAATTCTCAATTTGAAAACTCTCTTGAGTAAAAATTACGCAAAGCAAAACAAGGTGGTAATTAACTGATAATTTATATTTTTGTACTACAAAATTTAATAAGACGTATAAAAGTTAGCATTGTCAGCAAAAATATTTTCAGTCATTATTCAAGGATAAGAGTAAATGGAACTGGTCAGTTAATAAAAGACAAGTATTTCAAGGTTAAAAATATTATTGAATAATATTTTTACTTTTCCTTTTACCAGAACATCTGAAGTATGAAAAATTATGTAATTTAAAATTAAAAAAAAAAAATTTTCTCTTGTGAATGATTGCTGAATCAGTTATAGTAGTTTGAGATCTTAAAACAGTATGAGTTTAAAACTAATTTTGTTTGTTGATTGCAATATTGTGTTAAATATTGTTCATACAGTTGGATTGAGTGAAAATTAATTAAATAATTTTTAAATATGTAAAAAAAAAATTTTTTCCTGTTACTTCTTCAAATGCAGTACGCAATTAAAACATTCAACTAACCGTATAACAACAGTAACATGGTATCAACACACAATTCAGCAATTCACACTTAAAAGTAAATTGTTACTAGTTCTCAATGTATAATAAAATTCTACTGTCAGAATAACTACAATATAAAATTGCACATTGATATATTCGCACACGTCAAATTGGTAACAAAATTTTAAAAATTAACAATACACAAATTTTTGACTATTAATTTAACAAATTTGACAATTATAAATATTATTGACAACTAAATGTTTCTCAAACTTCACAATAAGAACACATTTACATAAATTTTTCTCTTTTACAATAACTAATTTAAAAGAGATTTAAATAATATTTACAATTTTATTTAGAATTAAGTATGACTGACAGACTTTTAATAAATATTTATTGCACATACACAATGTATTTAGGCTTCCATAATAATGTACTTTAAAAGCTCCCATTAAGAAAAACAACACATCAATAATATAAGATACCAATTACTTTTAAGAAACATTTTGGAATACAAGAAATTTGAATACACACTTATTCACATAATTTTCAAAAACTAAATATATATACACATGTATATAATTTAAACAAACATTGAAAGCAAGTTAATGAAATGATTTTAATTTAAAATTATAATATAAATATAATATTTAAAAAATGTAATTGTCAAAGATTGTACTCACCTAAGACGTCTACGTTTTTCCATTAAATCGGCATTATTTACTTTTGAAAAATCATTATTATGTGATGGAAAATTATCTGATGCTTCATGAGCTAACTCTTGTAGTATATTGTTGCTCTCTATATCTTCACCAACCTAAATGTGAATAGTTTTATTTAGAAATATTTAATATTATTTAGAATTATTTTTATAATTGAAATTTATGTAACTGTTTACTTCGGTATTTTGCATAATTTCAATAGAAAATGGCAAAAATATTCCTTTATTTAAAATTAAATAAAGTAATCTATAATATTAATACTTGCGTCATTTGTTTAAAATAACTACAATAACCTTTCCTAATAACAGATTACATAAGAGGGATTACTATAACGAATTCTTTCGTGGTACTTTTCAAGTACCTTCAAAGTAACTAATTACCAGTTTTAATAACGAATTTGTTATTACAGTTAACGTAAGGTTAAGTAACGAACGTTACTTCGTTAACTATAACGTTACTTTGTCAACTTAAAATAACGAAGTGAAGTACAGTTAACGTAGGCTTAAGTAACGAACGTTACTTCGTTAACTGTAACGTTACATTGTCAACTTAAAATAACGAACGTAAAGTACCTAGCTTATGTTACGAGCTAATAACTATAATTACAATTACTGTAGTTTATTACTTTTTTTGAATCATTACGTAAAGATAATTATTAACTTTCCGATTAATTTACTGACATTATGCAATCGACCGTAATATGAAAATTGTGTATGATAACTCACATAATTATTTGAAAATGGAATCATTATAATTGAGTACTTTTAAAAATCTTATATACTTACCAAAAAACTTGGTCTATCTGAATTACTCATTATGCTATTACAATTAACTTCACTATTATTAATTAAATTATTAACTGAATTTGATGTTGTTATACCGTTTTCAAATATTGGTGGTTCTTGTGAAAATGAAACTTTTTTTAAACGATTTTGTTGTGTATTTGTTGTTACGTTACGTTCCTCTTCCGTAGATTCTTGGTTACCTTTAAAAAATAATTTTTTAATAAATAAATAAAATTTTGTTTTTATATAATATTTTTATAATTTATAATAATTAATTAATTAATATATTAGCAATTATAGCAAAAAAAAAAATTAATAATTTATTCTTACTTATAAAATAGGTAAGCGCTCTTCCAAAGTATGCGGTCATTAAAAGTACTAATAAGCAAAATATTATTTCTACATATACCATTTATTATTACAGTTTTTTATATAATATACACGGAGTGTGTATAATATTTATTTAATTTATTTATTTACGCAAAAAATTATTAAGAATATTTTTTATTTCCCTTTTGGACTCAAAATATTTATGCATGGATATTGTGTGTACAACAATATGAAGTGCGACGTAACAAAATTTTTTTTATTATTGTGTCAAAAGCGTTTTCACTTTTCAATGCTCCTGTTACTGTATACAAATACGTTATAGAAGAAAGAGAAAAAAAAATAGAAAAGAAAGAACATAAAAGATTAGAATCAATTTTTTTTTTTTTTTAAATGATAAAAGAATTTTTTATATTAATTTTAATAAACTATTGTTATTATTAAGAAAGACAACATATACATATACAAAAATGTAAGTTTAAAAATATTAAAATGATTAAATTAAATAACATTGAATACAATTTACACGTTATTTAACACAGACTTTTGTTAATTTAAAAATAAATTTAATTTAAAATATTTTAGCATGACAGACATAAATTATTATAAGTAGGTAACTGTACTAATTGTATTATAACTGTGGTAACTGTATTATAAGTAGTTTGACAGGTATGTAATATAAAACATACAAACGGGACAGCACTGAAAACTGTTATACATGATTTACTCTTGTTTTCGACAAACGGAGTAAGGGAGTGGAGAAAGAGTATAGAGAAATTTTCAAATCTAACAAGTCATATGAACGCATGGAAATAAATAAACATTTATGATTTATCGGAGTATTTGAAAAAGTTCGAGAATTAAAACTAACTTTTTTTTTAAATTAGCGCATTTTTTTTGCACAATTTGAAGTAAACAACGAACTACTTTCGGGCTTTAAGAGTCAAAATACCGAGATAAAAGGAAACGTTAACATTTTTAAACACATTGGAGTTGCCGTTTAAAAGAAAAAGCACACGTGTTTTGATATTTCCAGAAAATGCAAGAGGTGAAAGTTTTCGCCCTTTGTACATTATTTTTTAAAATTCAAAGAGTTAAAGCAGAGTAAAATCTAATTTAACACTCTTGGGGGACAAAACTTTAGAGAGATTTATTGAGAAGAGATATACATACAAGTTTAACTTTGATTTTGGCAAATTATTTTCCAAGCCAAGTCTACTTTTTTATGGAATGTCAGCTATTAATTTCGAACACACACACAGAAGAGTTGACACAGTGAATCGAAAAGTAGATTCTTTTCAAAAATTTACTAAAAATTTTTAAAACTTTGTGTGGACATTTTTAACACTTTGTGTGAATTATTGCAATTTCTTATCACTTATTTTTTTTTTATATATTTTTACAAGGATCGGCGCTTCTTTTTACTTTTTTATTAATGTATTTGCATTTCTTATCGAAAATTTTGATATGAATTATAAAATATTGAACTCGTAAGATGAATAAATTCATTTATAGCTGAGGTTATAATGAACGACTGTTATAAGTCAACGGTGTTAGTTTGGTGAATGTGGTGAATTTATGATAATGAATAAGAAAAACGTGAGTTGGCGAAAAAGTTTTGTGAGAAATTTATAATTGATATGGAGCCAATATAGTTTTCCTAACCTTATTTCGAAAATTTTCTCATTTTAGCTTGTTCTTGCTTAATTTTTCCTTATAAGCTTGAAGATTATAAAATATGTATGTACATAAGTTTATGCTTTTTGATAAGACTGATGTTTTGACAAATATTTTTATTTGACAATAGCTATTACTTTGATTTCATTTATTGCTCCGAATAAAATTTGACAGTTTTCGCCCACAAATTTTTATTTTATTTATAAAATTGTTTAAATATTATTCTAAATTTATTGGCTATTAAAAAAAGTAAATATTTACAAAGTATTGTTAATTATCCTGCATTAGATTTTTCATATTTGCAAAAAATTTTAAAGAAAATAAAATTTTTTTATCCAAAAACAAAAAATTCAAACGAAATCATTAAAAAGCTTAATCTTATTACTAATTGCATTATTCTTCGAAACTTTTCAAAGATAATTTTTTTTTATATTCAAATATTTCAAAGGAAAAAACTGTAAAAAAAACAACAACAAACAAAAGAAGGAGAAAAAAAATGAGACCAAAAAAATTCCCTTTTGAATTGAAATAAAAAAAAATTTTTTTTTTTTTACCCCTATATAAACTGGAACATCAAACGAAAATTTTTAGTATTAAATGCTGTTCAAATCAGCGATAAGTGAATTTTTAAAATAGAAAATTAAAAAAAAAAAAAAAAATATTAAAATGAATTTTAAATTTTTATTAATTTCATTTGGATTATTGTTAGTATTACAAATTACTTATGGTAAAAAATTCGATGAATGTTCATTAGCAAAGGAATTGTATCGTTTGGGTGTACCAAAATCACAATTATCTGATTGGATATGTTTGGCAAAATATGAATCACAATTTGAAACATCAACAGTTGGTAAAAAAAATAGTAATGGTACACGTGATTGGGGTATTTTTCAAATAAATGATCGTTGGTGGTGTAAAAATTCGAATGGTGATCGTTCATATAATCAATGTAAATTATCATGTGATGAATTATTAACTGATGATATTACAAAAGCAGTTAAATGTGCAAAATTAATTAAAAAACAACAAGGATTTAAAGCATGGGTTGCATGGAATAGACGTTGTCAAGGCTCTAAACCAAATATAAGTAAATGTTTTTAAATGTGCAGAAAGAAAACCTCAATAATTCAATTTGAGGTTAGAATCTACCAAACTATACTAATGATGTTCCGATTATGAATTACTTTATACCAAAAAAAAAAATTTTTTTTTTAGATTTTTAAGTTAAAATTTAAGTTTTATTGCATTTTTTTTATTGTTTTTTTTTTAAATCAAGCCAGAAACTTTTATATTGTTTTTTTTTTTTACTTGTAATATTAGAAAATAAGTTTAAAGTGTTACCGTATGTCTATATAAACTTTATATAATAACGAAAAAAAAATGAAAGAAAATTTGTATTAATTAAAATTATTTTGTGTTTCTCATCCTTCAATATCTCGGATTTGATTTGGTTACTTTTGATTTTAGAAAATTTTAGAAAATATTTTCATAGTGAACCAAACTTTATACTAAATTGCTTAATGTTTCAGTTTGAAATTTGTCAGTATTCAGAAAATTGGTAATACAATTGTTGGGATTTTTAAAAATTTGGTAAAATTTGCTTACTTTTCCAAGAAATTATAAAGTGTTTTGACAATAAAACATTGAAAACTTGAAAATTTGTTATGATCAAATATTTAATTGGATGGAAACACGTTTTTTTTTTTAATAGATAATAATATTTTTGATACGCTACGATCTTTTGGAATATTGAATTTTTTAATTTATTAAATTCAATTGGTGTATTAACTTGTAGATTGTAGATTTTAAAGGAACCGAGTGGCACATGAGGACTCCTCCCCAAGCTATTCGCGACTTATTGTTATAATATCCATGCTCCAAGTATAAAACTTGAGATATCCCGATATAACTCAACATTTAACTAATGATAGCAAAAGAAAGAATTTATTTAAATTGGATTGGGTCCCGTATAAATAATTTTTTTTGAAAAACAGAAATTAAATTTCTTTTTAAGATTTGGATTTTTTGTCCAAATTATATTTTCATTTTCATCTCATTTTTTTTTGTACCATGAACTTAATTTACTTAAGTAACTAGTCATCTTTCAAAGTTCAAGGTAAATATCGAAATAACAAAAAAAATTATTTTTTTCTTGAATAAAAAACCAATAAGTAACAAAATTTCTTTCGTAATTTTTATTAATTCATAAAATTCAATTCAAATTAATTATAAAATTTAAAATTTTCATTGACCTTAATGTTGTCCAACAAAAAGTTTAATGTTATGCATTTTGAGTAAAATTTTAAGCGAGTAGAAAAATAAAATACAAAACTACTTTTAAAATTATAAGAAAAAAAATTCATGAGAAAAATTTGTGTATTTTTTGTTTGTTTTGGCTTTGAATTCAATTTGAACATTTTAAATTTAGTTAAGGTTTTAAATTTTTTTTTTTTGTGATTTTCAAATTTTTATTTTAGGTCAACATTTTAACAATCAAAAAATTATTAAAAATTGAGAAAACAGAAACCATAAATTATAATTTTGAAGTTTCTTAATCCTATTTTAAGTTTTGAAAAATTTCAAAATTTTGAAATGAAGCGCTGCAATTGAGACTAAGTGATTTAAATTACATAGTAAAATGATTATGCACTTAGTTGGCAATACTATTACAAGCAGAGATTACTTATGATCAGATTGATACAAATTCACAATGTTTATAATGATTAATAAGTTAGTGTGAATAAGATATGATATCCTTCTGTCAAACTATTAGGTTATAAAAATTTTTAGTTGATAAGTATTAATCGAACCCTTACTATATATCAGGCTAAATTAAAAAGTATAATTGTAAATATTTTATATAAAGATTCCGGTAGATAGCCCTAATATTTGTGAAAGATAATTAAATGTCAAATCCCTCATATTTATATTTTGTGTTGAGAACGAGTTAATTAATGATATATCGTATAACGTAGTTTTAATATAGGAAATCTTTCTCTCTCATTGAACTTAATTGCAACACATTCTACATATTTTTTATTTAAAAACAAAATACTTAATCCTTTAAATTCAAAATTACCCTTAATACGTAATATATATCGGAAAATTATTTTGTTTTATCAAATTTCAACAATATTTTAAAATAAATTCATAATTGAATAATTACCACACGTCAAAAGTTGTTTATCAGAAATAAGAAAAATTAATATTTATGACTTATAGGTATTTAAAATAAATATTTATAATTGTTCAAATAAGAAAATTAAAATTATTGTATTAAAAATTAAATTTTCATAAAAATAAATAAAAATTTATAAAAGAATTTTCTATAGCTTAGAAATTAATTAATTTTAAAAAAAAAACAAATATTTTCCTTGTTTACGATCAGACTTCAAAATTACGATTATAAAACAATAGAAAAGGAATCACGTATACATTTGTAAAATGTAGAAAGAAACAAAACATGTTCACATAATTAATATTTTTTTTTATGTAAAAAAACAAAAAAAAATTGATACTTTGGACTTTTATTTAATAATACGGAAAATTTTTTTTTTAGAAAGTTTATAGAAAGTCATTATAGTTTTTATGTAAAAGTGAAGTTTTTTGAACAGAGAAAATTTGCAAAATTTTGCAGCAAAAAATAATTTTTTTGTTAAATTACAAATTTATTTTACTTCAACATTATTGATGTATTTAGTGTTGCCACATAACATTATATCAATTAATCATTATTTTGACATTGTTATGTCATTGTACATTATGTTATTCCTTCAAATATATTTTTGCCCTTGAAAAGGAGAAAGGAATCATCAAAAAAATTTATGTAATATTTTCACACTCTCATTAATAATAGTTTAATTATCTCTAAGGTATAAATATTTGCCTAACCAATTGTTGCCTTAAAAAATTACTTCTACCATTTTCCAAATAATTACAAAAACTAATTGAGTTATTTTGAAAAAAACAAGCAAAAGAGTAAATAAGCAACAAAGTTATTCATATAAATGTCATCGAACTTCATTAACAGGATCAATTTCATACCCAAAAAAAAAAAAATTTTTTTTTTTGTTTTAAATTTTAATTGAATAAAAATATTCGTATTTTCCGTGACGTAATTAACGAAAAATTGCTAAAATTATTTTCAAAAAGTAATTATTTTCATCCCACTGTGACAATTGACATTTTTAATAATATTCTAGAGAAAATTTTTTTGGCAATTTGATTGTGACGTATAAGTATTAATAAGAAATTTTGCATAATTATTGAAATTATAGAAATTATGACTTAAAATTGGAGCCTTTTTGAGTCGAATTTAGATTAAACTATAGGTTTAGGTAAAACTGTACTAATGTTATACATTTATATTTCTGTTATATTACAACAAAATATTATTCAGTATTATAAAATAGTGAAACTAACCTGATGACGATGTTAATTCAATATTATTTTGAGATGATACAAAAGATGTAAACCATTTATATAATGAAGAATTCGAATAATTCATTTAATTAACATTTATATATATATAACAATTTTTTATTGAAAATATATTAAAAATTTATATAAAGAGTTTAATTAATAATTATTAATCCCATTCGTGTTAGTATATTTCTATTAATTTCAAAATTTTTATTAATTTTTAATTTTAAAATATAAAATACCCAAATTATGCACTTCCACTGAATTTTTTTTTTTAGTTTGTAATAAAAAAAAAAAAATGATTTTAATTAAAATTATAATTAATTATTTTTTTTTAATTATTTTATTTGAATTTTATTATTATTAATATTTTATCGATTACAGAAATAAAAAAAACACAACCCTGATAAAAATTTTGCAAAAATTTCATAAAAAAAATTATATTAATTTTTTTTTATTCAATTTTAAATTTATTTTAAAATTTTCATTTATAAATAAGAAACAGTTAAATGAACTCTAATTTATTGTATTGTGTACTTCGTCCCCTTTATTTTTTAAATTATGCACAAATAAAAATTTTCTGAATTCCTTTTCTTTTCTTTTTTTGTATTTTAATTAAATAAATAATTAAAATAATAAATTAATTAATTAATTTATTTTATTTAAATAAAATATATTAATGACACGTTATTATTATTTATTATATAGCACTATATAAGAGTTATAGCCAATAATCCGAAAACAAAAAAAAATTAATTCTTAAGCGATACTAATCCGAATTTTTGACCACCAAACAAACCGAGAGTCCACTAATGACTAAAAATTTTTAACATTGTAAAAAATTTAAACTAATAACTAATGGTAATCATCAATAATAAAAAAAAAAAGTGAAATAAAAAATATTATAGTTATACAAAAAACAAAAAAAAAAAAGAAAGCCAATAAGAAAACAATAAAAATCTGATTATTTTGAAGTCAAGTTTAGCCCATAATCAAGTATTTTTTTATAGAGCTTTTATAATGTATATATATATACATGTCTACTAATACATAATATGTATATTTAATTATTTATTTTCAATTCAATTTTCTTTTTGTTACCCTATTGTATATTAATTTATTAGACATTCGAAAAACTATATACTCTCTAATATATAGATTTATCGCATTAAATGTGCGCTATAGTAGCATAAGGTCAATAAGTTGTACTTAATTGTATATATATATATATATGTATAATAAGTTAGCAAAATTTCTATAATAAATTTGTAACCATTACTACATTTTATTTTCAAAGAACAATATTCATAATTCTTATACGGTTCAATTATAACACTTACATAATGTATTATAAACTTAGCAAACTTCTACCTGACCGACCATTCTGTTAATTAACTATAAAAAATTGTTATAAAATGGATGAGCTTACTTGATTTTTTAAAAATTAATTAGAATTTAATGAAATATCATTACCTCAATTAAAATTTGAATTTTTTAGCAGCTTTCCTAATCATAGACGATTTTTAGTTTACCCTATACTTACTGCTTTGCAAATTTATAGTCTCGCAAACTGAATTTCTGTATTCAGATTAATACAATTTCAAATAATTTTCAGTTCATTAGGTTTGATTTCAAACTATTTAATATAAAAGTAATACTTTAGAAAGTAGGTTTGGGTCTCTGCTATATAAAAAATATGTTTGTTAATTTTGTGTTTTTAATTATTATTTTATTTTATAAATAATATAAATGTATCATTTTGGATCAATTGTTGGTGAATTTCTAAAGATTTGATGTAATTTTTAATTTTTCACATTTTGTTTATAATTAAATTCATAACGGTAATACAACCATCATGTTATAATGGTCACTACATTTTTACTCACTTATAAACAATAATATAGTGTTGTTATGAGAGTAAAAGAATTGTACTGTTTTGTTATTGAATTTAATTTTAATTTTATTAAATTTTTTCTTTTATTTTGTCTGTCTTTTTGCAATATATTAGAAAGTACAATTACCTTTCGGTATTACGATATATGGAAACAAAATTTAAAAAAAAATATTTAAGAGAAACTGAAATGTGCAAGTGTTTTGAAAGGATACTTCGAAAATTATTTGACATATTAATGACACTTGATGTATTACATGTGTTTGAATATTAATAAATTTAAAAATATAATTTAATATGCAACACATCAAGTTTGACAGATATTTCTGTCATATAAAAAATTTGACTAAATATTACGTCTTTGATTTGACATTTCAATGTGCTGGCATATGCAGGGTAAAGTATTCAATTTTGTAAGCCTATCTATAAATAAAAATCTAACATAATACGAATTATGGCGATATTTTATAAATAATTAAGTATTAACGCTAATTTAGTCAATTTAAATTTGATACTTTATGCTACAAATTATATGTATGTATACTAGATTTCTATGTCAGTTTGTTTGGCGTTGTTTTATTGCAAATTTTTATGTTAAAATTTAAATTTGAAAACAAGTTTTTTCATATTATAAAAAATTTAGGTTACTAAACCATAAACTTAAAATTTTATAATGTTACCATGTCGTTATAATAAACAAGTTTGTACTATATATTTACAGTGTAGTATTTTTACTATATTCGCGTACGTAATGGAAATTTCTTTAATTTAATTTAAATAATATATTTGCATAATTATTTTTAATATATTCACGAATCTTTGTTTTAAAAATATTCAATAAATTTTTAATTCGATTTTATTATATATGTATATACATTTTAATAAATGAAATGGTTTGTTTAATAATAAGAAAAAATTTTAATTCTTAATTTATGAAAAGAACCGGAAGTAAAAGATTATTATTGTAAAGAGTATATTTGTATTTTATAAATAGAATTTTCAAATTCTGCTTTTTGCGCTGTCATCATACAATTAATATTTATTTTTATCAGTGAGAGAAGATGAAGTGCACCACAAGATAATTAACCTGCTATATAATGTATAATATTACTGGAAACTTGAGATAAAATAATATGAAATGCATTCGTTTTTAAACAATTTATTGTAGCAGGCTTTATTTATCTTGTCAATCAAACAAAGTAAAGTAAAAACAATTCTAAAGCATTCTTTTTTTCCTACTTATATGCAATTACTTATTTGTTTACATACTAGCTGCATAATTTGAATTTTTAATTTTCTTTGAAACTAAATAATTAACTATATATTGTTTAAAATGTTGTTTGAATTTAACCCTACCCATACACAGTTTTATTATTTTAAGTATAATAATATTTATTTCAAAATAAGTAATTGCATTTTTAACATTTTTTCATTTATTCAACTCAATATCACATATACGGTAAGTCTGTTGCAGTATAATTCATATATAACTTTGAAAATGGTACTGCACAAGATGAAAAATACAACAATGTGTAATTTACTAACTAACCTGATTTTCGACATTTTTGTTAGTAACAATTTTTTATTAGCAATAATTTTGTATTCAAGGGCTGACTGACTGTGTTAACTTATTAGCAATTGATTAATTAATATTAAAATTTATTTTTTAATCCAATTCATATCAGCAGTATTCAAATTTTTTTCAAAAACTCAAAAATAATATTTGCCTAGAATCTAGATGAACATATACAAACATATATATACCCGTATAAATACATATATACCCATACCTGGTTATAAAAAAAAATTTCAAAATATTTTCACTGTCAAGAACAGAGATTAATAACAAATTTATTTTTATTAAGTTTGTTTTATTTTTTTTGTTGTTTCATTCTTACTTATTATGTAATTGATAATTGATAATTTTTAATAATATTTATGTATATACACATACATAAGTATATTTAGAATTGCATTTGTGTGTGAGTGTTCTTTTCAAGTTCTTCTTTGTTTTCACCACGATCTGCTTAATTAGTTTTTAGAAAATTCGTGGATATACAGCAGTTTATGGGCATTAATGTAATTTTATAACCTAAAATAAAAATTTTAACTAAAAGATACGTGGTGTCGGACATAATTTGAATGTCTTTGAACTGTTCTCAAAAAGCACTGTTCAAAAATATCATTTTGAATTATTTTCAAATGTCATTAATCTGTCAATATGTATTTATGCTAAAATATGCCAAAATGAGCAATTATTTTAAAATCGCACTTACATAACATAATCATGTTGTCAAATTAAATAACAATAAATTGTTAATTTAATTGTAAAATTGATTTATGAAAGTAACGGTATAAAATTATATTAAATTAAATATAATTTTATAATTTAAAATTATTTCTTACTATAATGAAAATAATGTACATTATACAATAACTATAAGTAAGTACGCAATTAAATAAAAAACGAAAAGCACTTTTTATAATAATTGTGAATTATCGCAACTTTTTAAAACCTTTTAATCTATTATTAAATTTTTTTTCTATTAAGTAACAATATAAATGTGCTTATACTTAATCAACGAACATTTACGTATGTATGCATATGTATACATATTCATATGTATACCTAATATACCAAATAATATTAATATTTTTAATATATTGTACACTAATCTAATAAATATGTGAAATTTTGTTCACATACTAACCTATAATAAAAACTCTCTATAAGCTTGCGTACATTATTGATTGGCGTGATTTTACCACCTTGAATTATAAAAAAAATAACGGCAACTTAATCCAAGCCGAGGTATAAATATTACAGCAAAACTCCATTAAATGGGAAATTTACAAAATCAAGCTATTAACTGTTGTTATATAACTAAAAAATATTGAGGATAATTATTTTTCAATAAATGAGTTGTCTGACATCTTTTATATCACTTCTATGAAAGTAGAGCAAACTTTTTAAATGTTAGAGTTGTTTTTGTAATTCTCTGATTTTGAGAATGGTACAAAACTTTATATATAAGTGAAAGTGAACGAAAATATGCTTTCTTATTCGCCAACTCAAATTTTTATAGAAATGAAGTGATCAAATACATCTAAATTCATATAAACAATGTCCGCAATTGTAAAAGGGCCAATTGGATTCTCCATTAACGCGTTTGAAAGGCGTTCTACTTCACCTTATAGTCATGTTCGACATTAAAATATTGTCATTTTTGTCATTTCTTTCCTAGCCATCTAGTGA